ATGCCCCCTCCGCTCAGCGCAGGAACGGCCCCGCGGTCGGAGGAGGAGGAGGAGGAAGAGGAGGAGGAGGAGGAGGAGGAGGAGGAGGCGGCGGAGCTGCCGCAGGGCTCGCCGGAGCCGAGGCGCGGCCGCCCTTGCGCGGGGTATGAAGTTGCGCCGGCAGCGGAGCGGGGCGGCCGGCCCCGGTGGTGGTGGTGGTGGCGGTGGCGGTGGTGGCGTTGTCATCTCCTCCTCCTCCTCCTCCTCGGTGGGGCCGTAGCTCGGCGCTTTCTCCTCACCAAAACCCCCCTCCGCTCCTCGCCGCGGCCAGGCCGGGGCTCCCTGCGGGCGGCGTTGGGGATGCGGGCGCAGCGGCGGGCACCTGCCGGTCCCCTCCACTAGCCCTAGAGGGGCTGGCGGTGCCCCTCGGGAAGTTTGATGGCTTCTTTGAGGAGGGTCAAAGTCCTGCTGGTGTTAAACTTGATCGCCGTGGCCGGTTTCGTCCTCTTCCTGGCCAAGTGCAGACCCATCACGGCCAAGAGCGGCGACTCCTTCCATGACATCCATCCCAGGGCAGAAGTGGCCAACTTGACAGCCCACGGCATCAGCTCCATCCAGGATGCGGTGCTGAAGAGACTCTCCCTCCTAGAAGATATCGTCTACCGGCAGCTGAACGGTAGGAATGATTCTTTTCATGCCTTTGGAGCAGGGGTGCGGGTGGGAGTCGTGCGCCCGCTCTCTGCCCCGGCTTGAAGTTAGCGTGACAGGACCTGCTTTTCCCTCTATTATTGTGCAAACGGGGTCTGGAGGGGCTGAATCCATTTAGGGTCCGATTTCCAAGTTCGGTTTGTGTTTAAAGCTCGGGGTGAGTGCCCTGTGCAGGATGGGAGGAGAGCACAACACAACGCTGCCTCTCGGGCTGATAGCACCCGTCAGGAAATCACAGCGTCACGATTTCTGCATCGGATGAGCAGGGTGCTCAGTGGGGGAACTGGGGCTGGAGCAGCACCTTGTGTATTGGTCGAGGGAAAGGATTTTACTACTACAGAGTTGGGCTTTTTGGAAGGGAGTTTTTAAACAGCTCAAGTATGTTCCATCATTTGAGTGCAGAAGGTCAGAAAGCAAAATGTGCTTTCTCTAATAAGTTAAGCAAACTATTCACTATTTCCTATGGCTCAGCATTGACAGCTGCTAATTAAAATCTCAAGTAATGCTTCCCTTTATAGCGTAGGGAAGGGATTTCTATTAAAATCTCACCAGGTTCAGTAGTTCCGAGACGTAGAAAAGGGAGTTTTAAAGCTGCCGCGTGGGATAGAGAAACATGTTGTAAAGACTGAAGATATCTAGGTGAGGTATCTAATTAAAACACTGACTGGGGAAGCTAATTTTTTTCAAAATTGTTCCTCCTAGGTTCACAACTGGGAATGTAATCCCAATCGAGGGTCCCATTTATTGCTTCCAAAGCTCTGCAGCTTTCACAACTGCAAGAGAGAGAGCAGAGTTAAGGTTTTTGGCCATGTCAGTGTGATTCCCTCCCTGAGTTTTCCCTGGGAAGCTGCTGCACGGTTCTGTGCTGTGTTGAACCCGAGGCCACCGTGGGGCTGTGTCTCCCGAGCTCTCACTGAGTGTACATCCACACCGAGGGTGCAGGGTGGGTGTAGGGATACAACGGACCTTTCCTGGTGCCTGGGAGTTGCTTGGGTGGGTGTTTGTGCTGGGGGGAAGGTGCTGTAGGACACGAGCAGCACTCGGCTGGGCAGGGAGGTGTTATTTCTATTGCTACGTTACACACTCCCATGAAAAACCTGTCCTGCCTCTGGAAGTGCCTGGCACCACAAGGTGTTGAAGCAGCCACTGTTGGGTGACAAACAAGGTGAAACGTAAGAATAACAAGGGATAAGGTAGAAAGCTGGGTGTTGTTTACAGCCAAACTGTGAAACCGGCACCTTCTGGATGTTGCTGGGACAGAAGTTTCCAGGATGATTTAGGCACCTATTTAAAAAGGGGTAAGAGCTGCAGTTGGAGGCAGGAGACCTCACTAGGACCTTGGTAGTGGACAAGTAATCGCGGTGCCACCTACCACTCCTGCAGGTGCAGAGGGAGAGCTGAAATCCTAAGCTATGATGACCCGTCTTCCCTGGAGATCAGCATGGGACTCCCTGCTCCGATGTGCTCCGGGGGCTGTGGGGGGTCTGGCTGGTGCTTGTAAGGGGGGATCCGAGTGTGATGTCTCCTCTGTGGGCATGGGGAGCACGGTCACGGGGTGGAGCAGGAGCAGTCATGCACCCACAGCCCAGGGGAGACAGAGAGGTAATAGATGCATTGCCTGTATCACAGAGGTTTTCTTAGGGCAGGCAGAAAGCTGAGCACGGAGATGTGACATCTCGTCTGGCCTCTGCAAACCGGGGTGATTTATAGCAACGGTGACGAGCCTGGTGAAAAAAATAGCTCTGGCAGAGTGGGTGTGTAACTCCGGGTCAAGTGTATATTTGGTACAGGGGATTTTTAGAAAAGTACGATGTGTTCTCTTCCCTGAGTGTGGTCTCTGTGCTCTGCTTCGGCGAGGCGTGGGTTTAGAGCAAGGGGGGGCAGATGAACCCCCATCACCACCCACTGGCTTTCATGGACAACAGTTGAGGGTGCTGAGATGGTCCCTAGGACCGAGGGTGCGGAGGCAGCTGGGCTGGATTCCCCCCAGGAGTTTTCTGTGCCCGAATGGGCGTTCATTCTGGGCACCTAGAGCTGAAATCCCAGTTCCCTGCTCAAAGTACACGAATATGAGCTCATTTCTCTTTGTTACATTTAGGAGAGGGGAGCTGGATGCTGGTGAGAAGTGTCTGATGAACCCCACCACCCTGCACCCCCGCACCCACCCAGGGAATTCTCTTGCCGTTGCGTGAGGTTGTGTTTGGGTTAAAATCTGACCTGTGGTTTAGTGTGTAGGAAATGTCAGAATTTGGTATCCCATAGTGGGAATCCTGCGCCTCGGAGTATCGGGAGCCCTTTGGCAAAAGAGAGAAACTGAAACACAGTTTGGGTGCCATCAGCTGTGGATTTTTTTCTGCGTTATAGGACTTGGCTGGGTTTCAGTGGGAGTTGAAGCCATCTTTTAAAAAAACCCAAACTGAATCCCTTAAAAAAACCTCCGTTCTGTAAAGATCAAATGAGCAATCTGATCATACCGCTGCTGTGTTTTTGGTTTTTGAATCATGTAGTGTAAAGCATATTGGAAATAACAACTCTCTCTGGGATGGCAACCCTCGTTTCCTATCTGTGTGTATTTATTTATTTCTCTAAACGTTGGCCATAAAAACAAGCTAAACAACACTGCCTTGGGTCTGGTAAAGGAAATTTTTAAACAATCGTTAAAAAACATTTAAAACTCCCTTTCCAGGTGTTGCACCTTGCTGGTCCTGCAGTGTTTTCCACCCACTGTAGCTGGGGATGCAGTTGCAGCAAATTACATCATGTCAACAATGGGATGCTCGTTTCAGACTGTGGTTGAGTGAGGGCCTTAGGGATGCTGGGTGGGACTGGGGGGTCATCACAGCAGACATGGCCTGCCTTAGTTTTCTCCTTCATTAAGTATCCGTGAGAAGGGATTATCCAAATATTTTTGTGGCCTAAAACTGACTGAGAACTTCAAGTGTGCTTTGCTATGGGTCACACCAGCCCCATGCAGCTCTACAGGCTTGGGGCAGAGTGGCTGGAGCTGGGGGTGCTGCACAGGAGCCAGCAGTGTGGCCATGAAGCCAACAGCATCCTGGCCTGTGTCAGGAACAGCGTGGTGAGCAGGACTCATGAGGTGACTGTCCCCCTGTGCTGGGCACTGGTGAGGCCCAACCTTGAGTGCTGCATCCAGTTTTGGGCCCCTTTCCACAAAGAAGACATTGAGGGGCTGGAGCAGGTCCAGAGAAGGGCAACGGAGCTGGTGAGGGGTCTGGAGAACAAGTCTCCTGAGGAGAGGCTGAGGGAGCTGGGGGTGTTCAGCCTGGAGAAAAGGAGGCTGAGGGGAGACCTTCTCGCTCTCTCCAACTCCCTGAAAGGAGGGGGTAGCCAGGGGGGGTCGGTCTCTGCTCCCAAGGAACAGGCGATGGGATGAGGAAATGGCATCAAGTTGCACCAGGTTGGATATTAGGAAAAATTTTTACCCTGAAAGGGTTGTCAAACCTTGGAGTGGGCTGCCTGGGGAAGGGGTTGAGGCACCATCCCTGGAGGGATTAAAATGTCGGGTTGACATGGTGCTTAGAGACATGGGTTAGTGATGGTTTTTATCAGAGTTAGGTTGATGGTTGGACTAGATGATCTTAAAGGTCCCTTCCAACCCAGACAATTCTATGATTCTGTGATTCTAAAAGCTTCTTATTGCTCTTTAGTTCATTTCACGAGTCTTTGCTGTTCTGTGGCTTTTTGCTGGTCTGTAATTGGATGGTTCCCACGGACACAAAGAAGTACGAGGGGGCCCTTTGGACCGGAGGGGTTTGTACGTGCATGCACTTATCTGAGAATTCAGAGGATTTTTAATTTCTGTAGTCACTTTTATGGATGGAATTTTCTTGTTCAGCAGATGTTCAGAGAAGGCTAGTGAAGGCCTGGAAGGAACGTGTGTGTGTTTTACTCTGCCTATTAACTACAACTTGTCTTTGTGATCCAAGCCTGATTTTTTGTGTGCTGACATTTACATAAGCAAAAATTGTGGTCCAGATTATCTCCAACTTTTATGGCAATTCACACAAATGAACTTTTCAGTTGGGCCTGTGTTTGCAAAGAGGGGGTTTCTGTGCTTTCTGTGTCACAGGGGTTAGATAGTGAGGGGCTGGGGAGAAAAAAGACTCAGAAGAGAATGTTCGGCTTCTGCCGCAGCCGTGGGCTTCTTGGGCAACATCTTCCATTTACTCAGCTCCCTCCATCCGGAGGAGTTTGAGAAAATTGTGCATTTGTAGGATCTGGAGACAGCAAAAGTGGGGCAACTTTTTCACATTGAAGTGAGTGACTTGAAGAAAGGTGCAGTTTGCCTCGTGAGACAGCGTGCAAAGATTTTTCTCGCTACGAGACTCCTCTCAATGGGACTGGTCCCATGTCCGTTGCCTGGTGAGAAGCTGCTCATCTCCCCTCCCACAAGGGATGGCCTTGGGGGAATTGCCCGGGTAGCTCGTGCCTGGCTGTGTCTTCTTTTGTGAACTCGGGCATTGCCATCTTCCACCTCCCTTTGTCAGCTTGAAGTTGTACTTGATCCCACCCTGGGAAAGGGCAATGTTCTTGATGGTGCAGCACCCCCTCCCCAGAAGGCTGGATAAGGCAAGTGTGTGCCCTTTGTGGTGCCTCCCCAAGGCTGGAGAAGTACCAGTTCCAGTCCCTAAAGGGGCTCCAGGAAAGGTGGGGAGGGACACTTGATCAGGGAGGGGAGCCATAGGACGAGGGGGAAATGGTTTTAAACTGAAAGAGGGGAGATTGAGATGAGATGCGGGGAAGAACTTCTTTGGTGTGAGGGTGGTGAGAGCCTGGCCCAGGTTGCCCAGAGAAGCTGTGGCTGCCCCATCCCTGGAGGGGTTCAAGGGCAGGTTGGAGGGGGCTTGGAGCAACCTGGTCTGGTGGGAGGTGTTCCTGCCCAGGGAAGGGGGTGGCACTGGATGGTCTTTAAATTCCCCTCCAATCCAAACAAATCCTTGATTCTAT